TTCCCCTTGGTGAATCCATGCTGACTACTCTTGAGCACCTTCTTGTCCTCCATGTGCCTGGAGACAACAGCCAGTATGAGCCGTTCCATCACTTTTCCAGGGACGGAGGTGAGGCTGACTGGCCTGTAGTTGCCTGGGTCCTCTTTCTTGCCTTTTTTGAAGACTGGCGTGACATTGGTCTTCTTCCAGCCCTCCAGCACCTCCCCTGTTCTCCAGGATCTTTCAAAGATGATGGAGAGTGGCTTAGCTATGACATTGGCCAGCTCATGCAGCGCTCTGGGGTATCTTACACAACTACACGCATTGCTGCTAACTCCCCCTCTAATCAGTAAAGAAAATTAGGTACCTCCAGAGGATGTTCCCTTTATTTTAAGGTACCTTAGCAGGGGCCAGTCACATCTTACCCATTTAGCGTTTTATCAAATCTGTTAAGTTCAGCTTACCCAGCAGTGCTTCCTACTGCACAAGCCTCCTCTTCATGGTCAGCACCCAAGGTTGATTTCTGCATCCTTCATGGGCTTAACCGCCCCCCTTGAATTGCCTCTCCCCCTCTTCCTTGCCAAGAAATAGAAAAAAGGTATCATGACCAGAGTCCTATCTTACCACTCCAAAAATAAACAAAGTATGAGGAATAGAAGTCTAAATGCTTACAAGAAAGAAAAAAAGACTTTTTCCACTTTTTTTTTCTCATTTTTTTTTCATTTAACCCAGATTATCCAGATCCAGAGGAAAATACTGTCATAATTTATGCATAGGGATGTTTTCTCCCTCAAATTTGAGCACAGAGTCAAACAACTATTCGCTATGTCTCAATAAAACTGTGAAGACCAAGTGTTCTACTCACTTTTGGGAAATGGACTAGTTCTCCCAATAATAAGTGGAGACTGACCAGCCTATGTGTAATGCTTTTTTCTATTTAAATTTAATAGAGACCAACATAAAAACTATGACTTTTGTCTGTTGAGGTTTGTGACTGCAAAATACAGAAATCAGGTAGGAAGGTGAGGACTGCAGAGACCCCCTGCCACAACCCTCATTGCGCCGGTGACTCTCAGGACCGCGGCCGCGTGGCACTAACTTCCCCCGCGGAGCGTCTCGCCGCAGCCTCGCGCTGCCGCATTCCCGGCTCGCAGCCGCACTGTGGTGAAAGTCACTACCTCACCCAGGGCCTCACTATTTTTAGCCTCAGGGGAGCAGACGTTTCCCTCGGGCATTTCGAGCAGGACCTCCCTGCGGGTTCCTGGAAGACGCTTCTTAACAACCTGAGCTGTAAGGAACGTGAGTAGCTTTGATCCACAGTCAGAAATCAAATCTACACATGTGCTAGGTTCCTTATTAAATATTTTAAACCAATTCACTCACTGAGCATGTAATTGCAGTGAAGAAAATCAGTACTTAATGAACAAAGTCTAACTATTTTGCATTTGTTGTGGTTTTCTTTTTTTCCACTGGCATCCCAGAACAAATGGGAGAGGATATAGACACTGGCATCACGGTTCACAACCAGTGATCACTTCCCAACACACTCATCTAACATGGTGCTTTTTAGGTCCTTCCATCTCGTACTTAACCTTGCTTAACCATCATTTCCCCAGCTGACTTTTAAATTTCCCAAGTTGCTGTGGTTAAATTAGCACCTTGTGTAAGAAGTCACTGAAAGTCTGCACAGAAAAGGCAACAACAATCTAGTCTAAAAGGAATTCAATAAAAGTAGAAGAGAACGAAACGTTACTTACAACATAGCCACGCTATTTTGCTGGGACAGAAGGTATGGGACAATCTCCGGAGGAAAACGTGTGCGGCTCCTTCTCTCCTTTTAGCCCCATGAGAAGCTGTCAGCTCCTGCACAGCCCATGGGCACAGCTCTGAAACAGGCTGTCTCCGCCGGGCTATATTTGGTGTTCAACTTGGCTAAGTACCCTGGCTTCCAAAAAGAAGCCAGCAGCACAGGGCTCTATTACACATGTAGAGATGTGTTTTCAGCAGG